AAGAGTGGGGGAAATCGTGGTCCAAGAGTGAGTCCTGTGATCTTTCGCTGGGTCACACCTCACAATTGGTGAGCTTAGATAGTCTAATCATACAGACGAAGCCTTGTTTGATGTTATAGCCTATAATTTTACTCGGAGGGTATAAGGACGGTTTGATCATGCATATGTATTTATCTGATATATCACATAGTTATTTAAGTTTGCAGCTAGTTATGATAATACATTGAGTCATTGTCATATGTCTGTGTATCTTGTGGCAATGTATCATATGATTTGAGATGAGAATTTATGAGAATGAGTTAAATTAGGATAATGGTAGCTTATGTTGCATGTGATAGTACGGATATTCTAAGAAAATCAACATCTTTTTTGTGTGTTATTCAATTGATATACAATTGCATAGGGTAGACATACCTTAGTTATTGAGTGGCTAGATTTACTCTTCTATTTTAACATTTTATAGGATCTATCGCTAGTGCAGAAAGCAAAAAAGACTCCGAGGGCTTAGAAATTTAAGCATTCCTATTGTAATGTCTCTTCAATTCATTTATTTTGTATAATAGTTTAAATATTGTTAATTATGATACATTTTGTAAACACTTGAATTATATGGTTATTTATGATGTCTGGAATGTATTTCAGGCCTTGAGATGTTGTTTATAAAAAGTTGTAAATGTTGATAGGGCCAAAATATTAGTGTCAGTATAGTAAGGTTGTTTTAAACATGATATGAATGCTTTTTGGTAAAATGCAATGCTAAAACTTCTCCTTCTATTTTTGGTATTAAAGAGGTTGAGGGGTAAAAATGTGATATAATGGCATATATGTGCATATAATGTGTTGTACTATTAGTCATAAGTTCAATGAATATGGTTTGGGTGTTATGAATAGTTCTTAGCACTTATAAGGGGTTTTGGACACTCCTTTGTTGTGGAAGTTTTGAAAAGATGTAAAAATATATTTGGGTGTCCAACTTCCTAGTATGACTTAATTTAAAAGTGAAACTTATATTATTATTTAGTTTATAATAATATGAACTTTTAATAGGCACTTAGATCATCTCATTCAAACGTTAAACGGAGAAATAGAGCACCCCAAAAGTTTCCTAGATCTGTTGTCATTTGATGCCATGAACGTGCAACACGCCACAGCACATGGCACCTACATGTAGCAAGTGGCACAAAAAGTGACAAGTTGTGGCATATTGTGCACGAGCCGCAGCACACTGTTTTATTTTTTTTTATTGTGATGCTTTTCAAATTGTTTTGACTTATTTTACTTTTCTGAGATATCTCATGCTTCCAAAACATTATTTCACTTTCACGAAAAGTTTAATAAATGATTTTGATTTGTTTTAAATTATGAAAACTTGAGACCCATCATCTTAAATTACAAACTTGGTAATCTCTGGTGGGTCCCTTGATTACCTTGTATTATGCTTGTATTATGGTTTTAATTGTGATTAGATGAAGAAGAAATTACAACAGATCTTAATCTAGATGGCTCTGTAAACATAAACGAAGCTGCTGCTTGTAGATGCATCATCTGTAATGAAAAAAAGAATTGGATAAAAGGCTTTTCTAAATACCTTGACTATTATCCCAATACTACTTTTGAACTTTTAGATATTTTTAAAGGGTTGAATATTTTTGAAGGGTTGAACTTTGGTTGGAATAGCAAGTTTTCTAAAATCAATATTTACTCTAACTCTCTTGAAGCTTATTCATTCATTCACTATGATTTCAACAATAGTCATCCTCGCTTTGAAAACCATCATGAAGATTAGAGACCTTAATATGAAAGTCGATAATCACCTTTGATCATTTTTCTAGAAAAGCCAATAATTGTGTGGACTAACTCACACGTTATGCTTCATGTGATAGTCTGGATATTAAAATTTTAGATAAGTCACTTATAGGGTGCATAAACTTGTTGAGTGATGACTTGATTGATTTGATTGTTGTCTTTCACATCGTTTTCTCCATGGCCTTCCTCATTAAAACAAAATATCAAATATATGACCTACTGGGGAGAAATTAAGACGGACTGGGAGTCTCTTATATACATTTCACTAATGCATCTTTTAATATCCTAACTTTTTAATTTTTCTTTTGGTTTAAATAATTAATTTTTCACATAAAATAAAGACATTTTACTATGTTGAAGTCTTGAAACGATGAAATTTTGTATTTTTAATGATTTTTCAAAGAAAAAATCACTATCACACTCTTTTAGTGAAGAAAAATCATAAAAAGACCAAAACTTCACTTTTTTGAGAAATTTCAATCTATAAAAATATTTTTTATTTTATGTAAAAGTTAAAAATAAAAAAAATTAAAAAGTTGGAATATTGTAAAAAATATTAGAGAAAATATATTACACATGCTAACTGGTGAATTTCTCCTCTCTTTCCGCGTCAATGTGGAAGTATTGAATACATACAAAGACCCATCACGGAACAATAACGGGAGTGTGGCTTAGTCAGAAGTTATTAGTTTATGAGGAGTTTATAGGAAACTGCGCTGATGGCAGAAAGCGTGTTTTCCTCTTCTTCTTGTTAATTATCTTCCTCTGTTTCAATGTATTCCTTCTGTCTTTATATATAAATTTTTTTTAAATTATTTTTATTTTTAAATAGAAAAAGATGTTAACATATTTTTTTAATTAAATGAATCGTTATTGGTTAATGAATAAATTATTAAGACAAGTATTTTCATTAATTTATTTTAAAAATAAAAATTTATTAAAAATAAAATTAAAATATTACTGTATTTTTAATTAAATAATTAATTTTTATTAATTTATTTGATTTGATTAAAAATATTTTATATTTAAAGACGGAACGCGTAACTTCATTGAAAAGGTGTGAGTTGTTGACAAAAACATCAGCATTAAATGCAGAGAGAGACGAGAAAGCTTCGGCATCATACAGAGGAGAACTTAATAGAAAAAATAATAATAAATTTTTTTAAAATATATAAATAATAATTTAATATTTTAAAATGTTATAATTTTCTTAAAGTTTTTATGAACTTTTCTATTATTAATAAATTTATATAAATTATTAAATTATTTTTATTAAAAATAAATTATTTATAACTTTTTTTTTGTTTGTAATTTTTTTTAAATTCTTAATAATATAACAGTAAATTATAACTTTACATGTTAAATTTTTTATTTATTATTATATTATTGTGAATATAAAAAAATATAAATAATTTATTTTTAATAAAAATAATTTAATAATATATATAATTTGTTAATAATACAAAAATTTATAAAAATTTTAAAAAAATTATAATATTTATAGATGATTAAATTATTATTTATATATTTTAAAAGATTTAATTATCATTTTACTAACTCAATATTGGAATCAAGATGATATTGACATCACAGCCGACATAAGCAAGTTGATTATCGAAGGTCCGAAATTGGATGTTTCCACCATAACTGCACATGAACTTAATTCATGACGATTTCATTGCAATTTTTTAAATTTTTTTAATCGTTATCTATGATTTTTGAATAACTTATTATAACTCATAAATTATTTTTTATTCACTAATAATTAAAATTAACTTTTATTAATTATAAAAGTTAGATTAAATTATTTTTAAAAGTTAAGAGAACAATTTATATGATAAATAAGTTTAAAGTTTATGATGCTATTAAACCTAAAGTTTAAGATTAATTTACTCATTTATCCTTTATTATAATTATTTTTCCCAACATACCCCTATTTAATTATTCACCATTAAAGCACTTATATAAAATATTTAATGAGAATACAATTAGAAAGATGTAATATTTTTTAAGAGATTAATTCTATTTAACTTCTGTTTTTAAAAATTTTTTCCTATTTTTTAAAGACAAAATTTGAAAAACTCATTTGAACAAGTATTTTGATTTTAAATATTTTTAAAACTGTTTTTCTTTTTATTTTTTTAAAAAATGAAAATATTAACTGCAGTCCTTAGACGACCATCATTATTAACCTATTTTTTAATTTTAAAATTATTTTTAAATTAATATAACCAAACAAATTTTTTTATTTTAAAAAGCAATTCTAAAAAATATATTATAAAATAATTTTAAAAATAAAAAATATCAATATAAATAAAATAGACTCTAAAATTTCACCTCATTTTTTTGTAGAACCATAAAATAATTATTTTTTTAATTAAACACGGGTGTAATTCAATTCGTGGCACCATCAAGTGTTAAATAATTTTTTTCCCATCTGTTTTTTTCCAAGAGCTAGAGCTACTCTCTACACACAATACAATGTACTAGTAATTAGTAATACAGTAACAGTAATTATTTAGTTCTTGATGGTGCAACGAACTGGAGTACACTCATGGTCACGAAAAAAAATAATTATTTTATGGTTCTATAAAGAAATGAGGTGAAATTTTAGGTCACATTTAGTATCTTAGAATTGTAAGAAGGAAAATAAAATTAGACATGAAATTATTTAGTTAACTTATTTGATATGCCTGATTTGTTTTCTCAATGAAATTTGACTCTATCAAGATTAATGGAATCTAATTCTACTGTAGGTCATGAAATCTAATTCTAATTCAATAAAAAATTGACTGATGTGTCATTGAAAAAATAAAATAAAAGGCATTTTAAATTTTAAAAGCACAATCTTTATTTTTTTTTTACTGCTAAGTTTTTTCACTTAAAAATAGGGCCTCAGTCTATGTTTGGTTTAAATTCTTATTTTCTACTTTTAAAAATTATTTTATAATATAATTTTTAAAATTTTTTAACATAAAATAAAATAAAAATTTGTTTGATTGTTTTAATTTAAAAATCATTATTATTATTAATTTCAATTTGTATTGTTATTTTTTTAAAATTCAGTTATCAGTAGAGTTGAGAATAATTAATTATTTAAAGTGAAATTTGTAAATAATTCTCCCAACAACTTTTGCATCCACGTGGAAGGAGAGAAGAAACTTTTCAGGCAATGTCGGGGAAATTGCGCAATGTACGGGAAAATAAAAGCATAGTTGGACCAGGCCTTGCTCTGCTCATGTCTCTCTCTCTTGAAGTCAACCATGTCTTGCTTTGCTTCTTCATCCTCCACTGTCGCATCGGATTTGGTTTACGATGTCTTCTTAACTGTGAGTGATCCCGATCATCCTGCAAAAGCTGAATTAAGAAACTATTTCAGGGATCTTCAAATCAAAACTTTGATTGATGATCAGAAGGGGGTGTTTTCGATAACTGAGATAGCAAGGTTCAGAATGGTTGTGGTTGTTTTCACACCAGGTTTCGTGGAGTCCGATGTATTCCTCAAGGGACTGATGAATATAAGGAGGAGCCAAAAGATCATGAATACAAAAGTGTTGCCTGTATTCTGTGGAGTGAGCGAGGAGCAGGTACGTGAGCAGTTGGAGGGTATGGATTTGAGAAGATCAGAATCGTGGCATTTGGATTTCGATTTGGAATCGAGAAAAGCCAATACTGAAGCCGCGTTGCTTTTAGATTCGAGAAAAGCCATCGTTGAAGCTGCTTCCTCACATGGCTACACTCTGTCTTCTGATTTTGGGTAATTAATCCTCCTTTTGCTGATCTTTCAGATTGTGCTTTTGGCCAACTATGGCAATAATCACTTTTTACAACAATAAATACTCCAAACACTAAATAAAAGAATCAGAATTGGAAATGAAAATGAAATAAAATTAGGTTATAATAAAAGTTTGATAGTATTAAATTAGGTTATAATAGTATTACATTACTGTTGCTGGGCCGAAGTCATGCGCTCTGTGGACTTTTTTTGTGACTGTATTGAATCTATTTTATTTGTGACCAAAGCGTGTGAGAAATCTTATCTTTTAAGGATACTGTAGATGATGCCTGTCTTTTGTATCGTAGTATTGGAGTCTATCTATTCACCATATTGATAGAGTTCAATACTTATGCTGACTATTTGGCAAAACTGTCTCATAATTTAAATGTCAATTTTTATATCTTTAATCTCTCTCTACTTCTTATATAAGAAGAGGCGGTTGATGAAAGAGCCCTACTAGTAATTATATCCTTGATGTAATCTCTTTTTGAGATATAAATGCAATTTTCAATCAAAAAAGTATTAAATTACTGTAATGTCCTCCTCAAATAGTTGTGCAAAAAAATGTCCTTGTCAAATTAAAAAAAAATCTGGAACTCGAAATCGTCCACCATGGTGTTTCTCCACTGTTGGGGGCCAGCATATCACCATCCCTGTCCAGAAACGTTAATCAACACTCACAAAACAGATTCAATAAAATCAAAAGATATCCCAAAAACCTGGCATTTCAAAGAGCCCAACCAATAATTGGATCCCAAAAATAGAAATCCCCTCCTTTGCGTCTGGCTCGATTTTGCCTCCTGAAGTTCATGCACTTCATCACCTTTTCCGTGCCTCATCATGTCCTGTAGTGTGCAATTTAAAAGGATTTGAGATGAGGAATAAGGGTGAGCCACCTATTGTCAACAACCACCAAGAACCCAAAATTGCATAAATATATATATATATATATATATAATAAACTTAGTTTAAAAAAAAAATTTAACGGGTATATTAAAGAGTAGTTGTATTGGATTTTGTGATGAAAAATTACGTCACTAATCAAATCCCCTGTGCTAAAGAGATGAGCAAACACACATGCACAACACGATGAAGCAGTCGTACTCGAGAAATGTTGTTAATAAAGGAATTTAAACGTACTGGGTTTACATTTTTTATATAGATATATACATATTATTTTTTTTTTCAAAATACGTGCCTTTGTCTTTTAGATCTAATTTTAACTACCTACACAGGGATAAAATCAGTAACGGTATTGCAGATCAATCATGTCTACACATGTTCCACAATGTTATGTTTGAGGATCGTCCATATCATCAAGTAGGGTTATCGCTTCGTATGAGAAAATTGCTTGATTTTTTGGGGTGGCAATACATTATGATGAAAGATTTGTTCATGGTCGAAATTTGGGGCCCTGCAGGTATTGGTAAAACTACAATTGCCAAAGAATTTTATGATAGAGTTGGTGGCAATTTTGAAGGGAAGATTTTCTTGCAAAATCAAACCGATAAGCATCAATTTATAAAAGATGTTAGGCAACAACTTTGTTCAGATACTTCTGGAGTTGAAATAGAGGCAAATGATGTCTTATTGACATGCATGTCACCCCGTAAAAGAGTCCTAATAATATTTGATGATGTAGATGATACTGATGTTGATGATTATATTTGCCATGTATTGCGTAAAAGTAGAAAGTTGTTTGGTAAAGGGAGTTTGATATTCCTTATAGCAAGACAGATGTCTCCCTCTATCGGCTTTGTTGACTCATCGTATGAAATGAAAGTGTTAGACAGTCATGAGTCTCTTAAGCTGTTCAGTTTGTACGCATTTAAGAAATTTCCTCCAGCGAAGGGTTTTGAGAATCTTTCAAAGAAAGTCGTTTCTAAATGTTTTGGCCTACCATTGGTTCTTGAAATAATTGGCTCTCTTTTGCATAAAAGGACAATACCGGAGTGGAAAATTGTATTGAATAAATTATTGGACAGTGCTACATCATATCCTGGTCTAATTACAACGATGTGTAGACTTACTTATGACTTTTTAACTGACCCAGAGAAAGATTTATTCTATAACATAGCTTATATTTATGAGGACCAAAGTAAACATGATGTTACACAATTGTTAAAAGGATCGAGATTTCCTTTGGAAATAGGAATGAATGTACTCATTGAGCGAAACCTTGTAAAGGTCGTGAATGACAAGTTTTATGTTCATGATTTATTGCGGGAGGAATGGGGAGCCTATAGCTATGGTAAAAGACAGAAGCTCAAATATAGCTATGATGTATTTTTGAGTTTTAGAGGTGAAGATACACGTAAATCTTTTACTACTCATCTTTGCACTGCTCTAAAGCAAGCAGGTATTGAGGTCTACATGGATGAAGAACGAATTGAAGGGGGAGATAATATTTCTTCTTCGTTACTGGAAGCCATTGAAAGTTCTAGAATTTCAATAATTATATTCTCAAAAAATTATGCTGGTTCTAGTTGGTGCTTGCAAGAATTACAAAAAATCATGGAGTGTTACAAAACATCTTATCAAGAGGTATTGCCTATCTTTTACGATGTTCGGCCATTTGAAGTTCGTAAACAACAAAATGCTTTTGGAAAAACATGGGAAAAACTTGTCAACAGAACATCAAGCAGCAAAGTGAATGAATTGACAACCAAGAGAGCCCTTGCAGAGGCTGCCAACTTTTCTGGTTGGGACATGCAAACCTACAGGTATTTTTTATTTGACTAAACTATAATTTTAATCCCTTAACTTTACATAAGGTCATTTTCATCTCTTAATTTTACAAAGTATCTTTTTAATTCTTTAACTCTGATACAGTTAATTTTATTATAAAAAGTTTTTACATTAAATTTTTAAATGTTGACAAAACATTTTCATCTGTTGACATATTAAATTTAATTTTTTTTTAAAATAACAATGAATGGCACAAAAAATAAACATTTGAAACTAATGGTGTCAAAGTTAAGAGATTGAAAAGATATTCTATAAAATTAAAGGACAAAAAATTGAAACCTTTTATAAAGTTAGCTGACAAAAGAATACTTTAGCTTTTTTATTTTCTTTTACTTGTTACTGTTAGGAATAGTCAAATCCCTTTCGGTGTTTATTTTTTTCATAGCTAGTTTGACTTCTTTTGGATACAAGTTTCATTTAGAAAAATCTTGAAAGAAAAGAAAAGAAAAGAGAGAAAAAAAAATTGGTTTCAACATGAGATTTATGAGCAACCCTGGTTAAGTTCCTAGCTTCTTTGACTTACCTGCCTCTTAATGATTAAAAATCACATGAATCATCCCTTGGTAATCTTGCTACCACTACCACAATGCTCATGTTTTTATAGAAATCTGTTAATGCAGCAAAAAAGAAGGTTGAATTGGGTTTCACACATAACAAGCGCTTTCCAAAAAAGCTTTCGAAGTAGTTGGAAATATATATAATAAAGCATTTAGATGTATAATAATTCACCAAAAAGAGTATATGAAAGCAAAATTAGAATAATGCAGAGTTATAAAAGATGCACTACATTTTTCACCAAAAGAGAGAGAAAGAGAGGTGCACTTAATTGGTAATGATGACCTTCTTATATATTATTGATTGGCCAACAAAAGGGGCTTTCATATATGATGGAGTATAATTCTATAACCAAATTCTTAATCTTAATTTTAGGCTAAATCGTCACTAATTCTTCTATAATTTATGGAGGACAAAATCAATGTCGTTAGATGTAAAATTCTATTCATGTCAAATTAAACAATTATTATAATATAAAGTTAAAACTCTTCTTTCACCCAAAAAAAAGAGTTAAAGATCTTCAAATTAAAATTATGCAGATTATAAGAAACCTGTTTAGTTAATTAATATTTTGGGGGAAAACTGAAGCAGAACGTGTAATGATGTAAACTTAAATTTTACTCGATTTTGAGTAAAAGAATGATTTTTTTGGATTTTGGTCATCATGGAATGTCTCTTCATATTAATTACAAAAGCTCTTGTGTAGTCACATTCAATTAAATTTCACTATTGCTTCATGTTATTGTTTGTTTTATTATCATTTATTGCTTGTATTACTTATCTAATGTTTAACTAATTAAAATGAGCTATAATTACCTGAAGATAACTGATCTGTGTCGTATGTGATATATAGCAAAAAACACAAGATGTTCCATAGGAATCTTATCTGTGCTCAAGTTTAATTTAGTCAAGACATAACAGTTGATATAGTAATTCAAGTAATCTTGAAGGAAAAGGAATTGATTGTGTACACCATTGACGATGCCGAGCTAAAAAATGGAGTAGCAGGTTGGTCATTTCAACAAGTTATTTGAATGTCTTCTTCTGGCAACACGTCTGTCATTTTGTTGCTATTATTATTTGAAGCATGCACTTTAAGCATTCTCTGTAGAACTTATTTTCATCTAATGTTAATGTTGCCAGAACTGAAACCGAGTTGATTGACCACGTTGTTGAAACTATTACAATGAAGTTAGGCGACAGCAAATGCTTGTTTGTTGCTCACCATCCTGTTGGATTAAAGCCTCGTATGCACGATATCATCCAATTGCTAAGAAGTAAATCAAATGAAGTTGTCATAGTAGGGATTTGGGGAATGGGGGGAATTGGCAAGACAACAATTGCTAAAGCCATCTACAATGAAGTTGGTCAAAGGTTTGAGGGAAAGTGTTTCCTTGCAAATGTTAGGGAATTATGGAAGCAAGATAATGGTCAAGCTTATTTGCAAGAACAACTTCTTTCAAGCATCTTAAAAGCAAGAAGGAAGACGCTACCAAATATAGAAATGGGAAAAACTTTGCTCAAGGAAATGCTTTGCAAGAAAAGAGCTTTTGTTGTACTTGATGATGTGAACAATGAAGATCAACTTAAAGCATTATGTGGAAGCCGAGAATGGTTTGGCCAAGGTAGTAGAATAATTATCACTACTAGAGATGAACATTTACTTAAGATCCTTAAAGTGATTCATGTATACAATGTGAAAGAAATGGACGACAATGAATCACTTGAGCTTTTTAGTTGGCATGCATTTAAGCAAGAGATTCCAGAAAAGGATTTTGCTACGCTTTCAAGAAGCATAGTCTCTTACTCTGGAGGGTTGCCCCTTGCTCTTGAAATTCTTGGCTCCTATTTATTTGATAGAGAAGCATTTATTTGGAAAAGCGTTTTGGAGAAATTACAAAAAATTCCCAATGATCAAATACATGAAAAGCTAAAAATAAGTTATGATGGTTTGAGTGACAATATGGAGAAAGATATATTCCTTGACATAAGTTGTTTCTTTGTTGGTATGGATAAAAGCTATGCAACACAAATATTAAACGGTTGTGGACTTCATGCAGAAATTGGAATTACTCGTCTAATCGAGCTAAGCCTTGTAAAAGTTGGCAACAAAAATAAGCTTGATATGCATGACTTACTACGTGACATGGGAAGGGAAATCATTCGTGTGCAATCACCAGAGGATCCTGAGAAGCGTACTAGATTATGGTTTTATGATGATGTTGTTGATGTGTTGAGAAATAACAATGTAAGAACATTTCTCAATGACTAAACTGCACTATTTCCTTGCCTTTTTATAAATAAAATTTAATGCTTGTTTCTACAGTATCGAGTATGGTCTTGCTATCTTTTATTTGCTAATTGTGGGTTTAAGACCTTATCCCATATTGCACATTTCACATTTTCATTGACTTAATTTTTGATTTTGGAGTATTATTTTTTTCCTTCTTTAATTTTATAGGGAACGATGGCCATCAAGGGATTGGCTTTAAACATGTCAAGGAACAATTCATTATCCTTCAGTACGAAAGCATTTAAGAAGATGAAGAGACTTCGTTTGCTACAACTCGATCATGTACAACTTGCAGGAGACTATGGTTATCTATCAACAGAACTGAGATGGCTTCGATGGCATGGACTTCCCTTAAAAAACTTGCCAATGGACTTATGTCTAGAAAAGACAGTTGTCATAGACTTAAAGTGGAGTAATCTTACTGAAGTATGGGAGAAAAGCCAGGTATTTACCATGATCGTTTGGAATTAAACACTAGGGACAGTTGTTACATATATTTCCGTTGATCTATTTTATTCTTTCCATTATTATAGAGTTTATGCTAAAATTTTCTCCTTTCACAGTTGCTGGAGTGGCTGAAAATTCTCAATTTGAGTCATTCTTATTACTTGAAAGAAACACCCAACTTTTCAAAGCTACCATATCTTGAAGAGTTAATACTCAAAGATTGTCCACGTTTGTCTGCAGTTCATCATTCCATTGGTGATCTTAAATATATTATTCTGTTAAATTTAAAGGACTGCAAGAGCATCAACCATCTCCCTGTAGGCACATATAGCTTGAAATCTTTGAAGACCCTTAATCTTTCTGGCTGTTCAAAGATTGAAAAGCTTGAAGAAGACATGGAGCAAATGGAATCTTTGACAACATTGGTGGCAAATCGAACTGCTATAGCACGAGTGCCCTTCTCATTAGTAAAATTGAAAAGCATTAAATATGTGTCTTTGTGTGGCTATGAAGGATTATCTCGTGATGTATTTCCATCTCTTGTTTTGTCTTGGATGTCACCAACCTGTTACTCAAAGTCCTTGTTCCGAGCATCTCAGATCATGCCATCTTTGATCAGGTGTTTATCACATCCTTTATTCACTAAAAGCATTGAGAAATTAGGAGCAAGACAAAGTACATCTGGAGCTTATTGTCAAAAAACTCCAAAATTAGTTGAATTTCCTGAGCAAGTTCACACAGATAGGTCAACAGCATGTATGAGTTCTTTGACAATGCACGTAGGTGGGTCCAACAAAGTTGTGGATACACTTCTAAAGAGTATTTCAAAGGTTATTTTCCTTCTCTTTCTACTCCACTACTGCATAATTTATCTCAATATTGGAAGAATAACTTTCTTATACATGTTAAATAGCTATTAAGTAACAAAATGTTTTGAAATTTGAATGTAAAAGAATGTACAGTGTTCTTAAATGAATATCATTTAGGGGTTAATATGTACATTATATTATACTTTGAACAATATCATGAACTTGTGTGTGTTAATCTGTAATAATACACCCTAAATTGACCCTTTATGCAGTATCAGACATGAGTGTCAAAGATTTAACATTGATATCTTGACCTAGTATGAGTTTTGTATAAAATAGTTCAAAGGTGTCAAGATAATTCTTTTCTCATCATTTAAGGGTTAATATGTACATTATATTATACTTTGAACAATATCATGATCTTGTGTGTGTTAATGTGCAATAATGCACCCTAAATTGACCCTTTTCCTCAATAGCAAACATGAGTGTCAAATATTTAGCATTGATATTTTGAGCTAGTATGAGTCTTGTACAAAATGGTTCAAAGGTGTCACGATAATTCTTTGCTCTCAATTAACGGGTGCCTCTTTCTTGTGTTCATGGATCAGGGATGGAGTGATGGAGGGCTTGAATATTCTCTTCCGAGAGATAATTATCCTAATTGGCTAGTTTTAGAAAATGATGGGTTTTCAGTATCATTTAAAGCTCCCCAAGTTGCTGGTCATTTCTTAAAAGGAATGGTCCTCTACATTACCTATTCATGTCTTCAAGATAGCATTGGATCTGTGTATCCTATTGGTGTTGTTTTAAAGAATTTCACAAAAGCTACCTTGAATTTCTACAAGCGAGATGCTACGTCTTTTTCTACTGATGAAGAATGGCAGAACATAATATCTAATTTGGAGCCTGGAAATGAGGTGGAAGTTGAAGTTAAGTTTGCAAATAAATATGTTGTGAAGAAGACTGCAATCTATCTTGTATATGATGGAGAAGTTAACAAGCTGAGCATCACTGAATAAAGTTAAAGCATAAACGAAAAGGTACTTTTTTTTTTTTTTTATCTTAGTTAATTGGGCTGTCATAATATGAAGTTCACTTTTACTTACTTTAAGCATACTATGTTTTTTTTTTTTTTGGATAATGCAACAGGGATTCACACAAGCAAAATGTAAGTAAAGAGTGATAAGTCGAAGGCTTTCTGACTCCCGGGCTTTTCACTTTTTTGTTATTTGTTGAGGAAAGCAAAGACAGACACATCGTGTCTACCTCCATCTCTGGTATGATGTCATAATACTCTCTTTATCACTTTCATCCTCTCTGTTATTACTATCTATTATATAGTTTATCAATGATCATTATTATGGGGCAACCACAGTGATTTTGCTTAATCCCTTTTTGCTGACATGACATTACAGTAGAGATTTTCTTAGGACCACTTTTGCTACCTCAAATTAGGTTTTCTGTTTGACAATGTTTCAATGACCATGCTAGACTTTTCATGAAATTCTTTGAAGGAGATATATTCCAAGTTGAAAGACCTATAGATTGGAAAAGACAATTTGTGATACATAAAGTAATTGATCCCATGTGTGGACTTAATCTACATCCAGTTATGGTTTGAATGAGTTATTGATATAACTCCATATATTTTAGTGATTTGAGAGCTATTTTATGGTAAATTTAGAGAATTATATACCTTTTCGAGTTTACTTTTTTTTTTTTTTTTGCTTAAAAAGTTTAGATAAGTTGGATCCAAAGGTTCACTAAAACTAGGGCATATTTCTAGGTTCATTGAGTACTTACAAAAGTATTTATAGATTAAATAAATTACCTACTAATAAGGTCACATCAGTTGTGGGATTTGATCAGATGATCTTGTTGATTATGAGTGAAATTCTTGTCAATCAATTGGAATTGGTGGCTTTACTTTTTCTTTACCTTTACTGTAGGTAGTGGATTTTAGCTTTGTTTAATTGTTTGTGTGGCTCTAGGTGACCCTTTGAAGTGGATGAGTTGTATGGATAGCTTGTGACTAAGTGGTATCAATTTGGCTTGTGAGCTCAAACTGAATGTTGACTCAGCCTTGGACTGTAGCTGTGGCAAGCGAGGAATTGGCCTTTTGATTGATCCGTGATAGTTCTGTTCTACTCCTTGTTAGCTCTTGAATGTGAGGCACTTTCTTAGTAGATATCTTAGTTTTTTGGACCAAATAAAAGTTTCTTTAACCCTAATTTAATCTTGCCCTATTCTATCAGCTTTCATGACTGGGGTGGTTGCACTGTAATGGAGCTGAAATCAAGATTGCTTGTCTTTGAATGATTGATGCTGCAGAAAAAAAAAATGAAAGGATAGAAAATTGAGAGAGAAAAAAAGCTAGAGAATTAGTAATTTAGTATCATCATAACTGCTTGTAGTTTGATGGACAAAAAATATATAAAAAAAATAGACAACGGTCACAATGCCAATAATACCCTTACGATAGAATACATCAAGTTTTATGTCATTGTTGGAAGTAGCAGGACACCTACAGCTCACATTACTCAAAGGCTCCTTAACATTATTTAATGTGCTTCAAATCATTGGTTGTGGTTTAAAAAGGATGATCATCTGTGTTTTTTTTTTATCTATTTGTCTCCACAGGGTATCATGATGTCTGTAATCTGTATATCCTATTAGTGTTAGTGTGTCATATTAAAGAATTTAACAAAGGCTACGAACCAGAGAGATTCTGCAACTACTGGTCGTGATAAGGAATGGCAAAACTTTGTATCCTGTTTTGAGCATGAAAATGAGGTGGAAGTTGCAGTTGATTTTGCCCATAAATATATTGTGAAAAAGACCATAAATATATTGTGAAAAAGACTGATGTTTATCTGGTAAATGATGGCCATAGATTATCTATGTGAGGGAGAATAGAATTAAAATGTAAAGCTTTGCACGAGGAAAATTTTTTTCTCCCTTAATGCTGTTAGAAGACAAATTTGGTTTTTTTTCTTTTTCTTTTTTTTTTCCTCTTTTTTTTTAAAGAAAGGGAACCCATCATCAAAGGCTAACATATATTATTAGCATATTTTTTTATACAAGCAAATTAAACACACTTACAAGCATATGTATTAATTTATCCAACATTTGACTGGCAGGAGGAGAGCTCTGTCTCTCTGTCGTCTTTGCTTCCTCTGTCTTTGTTTCACTTTTCTTTCTTGTTCATCTTTTCTTCTGTTACGTTCTTTGCTTTTCTTGTTCTGATTTTCTCTTAATCTTTCTAATATGGGCTCATCGGTTTCAAGGCCGGAGTTCTTCTTGGCACAACTCTCACTATGTGAACGGTATCATTTAGGACAATAGAAAGTTTCATCCATCAAAGTTGCAGACTTGTACAAATAATTTTTGGAAGCTTCAAGGATTTATTTCTGGGGTTCAATTTGTGCAAAATAAATTTACTCTTTATTTTGAAAAGACTTAAGGTCATCTTTACATGCTTCAAAATGGTCCTTGGCTCCTTAACGGTGGTTTAGTTGTCTTGAAAGAATGGCAGCCTTTTACTCCTCTTTAGTCGATTTCTTTCCACACAGTTGATCTTTGGTTACATATCTATGGCTTACCTGTTGATCTTTATACTTTAGAGATGGCTCGGCTATTTATTAACCATTTTGGTTTTTTTTTTTTCTGAATTTTGATCAAGGCTGTCTAAGGGATGCTTATGGCTTCATTTAAAGGTTCGCATGTTGCTATCATCCGAGCATAAATTTCATGGAGTCGTAACCTTTGCATCAGGTGCTAGCTTTGATTTCTTCATTCAAGCTGAACGTTTATCACTGCTTACACATTGGTAATGTGGAGCATTCTTGCTCCTTTGTCTGTTCACTATCTTGAGTTTGTTCGTTCATGGCTTTGATTATAGTATCTTGGTGGATTATGATTGGAACTGGAAGTTCAATTATTATCATCCAGAAGATCCTCTTCGCAGAAAGTTTGACTCTCTCTGTTGGCCAGAGTTTCTTTGTTCTGACATTATATTCCTTCATCTGATGTTCCTAAAGATAGTTTTTCTGGCTGGAGAATTTATGTCGATGAGGAAGATTTTTTTGGAAACCTTTTGTGACAGGCGTCCATTTGAGGTGTCATCTTCAAACTCTACTAGCTGTCTCAAGCGGAAATATTTCTCCATCTCTTTGCCTTGTTGCAATGATTCGATCATCAAGTCTTGATATGCCAAAATCACGAAAATTTAATCCTCCAATGCCTTCTTGATGATTTATAACAGAAATTAATTAAACTAACTATATTTTTCAATAATCAAAATGTAATATGTTTGGAAAAAACAAAAAAAAAACAATTAAATCCAAAACTCTTATTCAAATTTTTTTTTTGTTTTTAAAAATAAAAATATTTTTTGAAAATATAAACCAAACAGCCTTAATCCACGCCTTCTTGGTTCTTGAATTATGTCCATGAGGTGGCAGCTTCTGATCAAAGCAAACATCTAAAACGAAAGGCTTCATCTTCTGCTTGCGATATGGTTAAAAAAAATCCTTAAAAGTACAATCGACACCTGGGCTTTTCTATGTGCTCTGCTCTTGCCACTTAAACTTTCACGGACTTCCGACCTCTGATGACATGAGATATCAAATGTGTCAATTTGAATGGGGAGAATGATAGACCTGCTTAGAGAATTATATAATAACCCAGAATTTAAAAAAATGTTTAAATAAAAATTTATTAATTAATTAAAGTCTATGGTTGGTTATTTTGATTATAGTTTTATTAATTTTGGGAACGCAGAGAATTGGTGGTTTAGTGGAGTCTCTGTCAACTGCACAATTATTAGATAATGTTAGGGAGTATTTTTTTTTTTTTTTTGTTTTAAGATGGAATGACATGAGATGGGATGGTTAGAAGTCTTGTGTCATTATTTGAAAGAAAATTTTAAAAGAGAATCAAATGGTTTGGGGTTGCTTTTTAATTTGTTCCTTATCATCCTAAATTCATTTTTCTTGACTTTCAAAAGAGAAAAATGATATGATAGAAATAATATTTTTATAAAATTACTCTTATCTTTCTTACTTTCTTTTACCCTTTCACTCATCCTTACCTTAAAATTAAAAATATAATTATATATTATTTAAATTTATTAATTTTATAATTATTTTTAAATAAAATCATTTATGTTTATAATGAAACTTTCAAACAATAGAATGTTTCACTTCGTCTCACTTCACTGCATTTAATTTCATGAATGATTATTCTTTTTCATTCTATAATATGCTCTTAAACATACCTTTTAGGTTTCAGGTTCAAAATGATTTTTCCTTTTGCTATTAATCTGACAAAATTACGAATATGCCCTTATGACCATTTGCTTTCTTCCTCTGATTTAACTTTTTGATCGGACATTTATTTTTCCAGAAGCTTCGCTTATCCTTCTCCGATCCATGGTCTCTCCGCCATTTGGACTTGCCGCCGTTGCCGGAGTAGAGGTGTGCCATAGATTTCTGTCAAATTCCTAACTCCTGATCTTCCTCCTTCGATCCTGTTCTGAGTTGTAGAGAGGTCTAGAGGTCGAAACTCCTCTGCGTCTTCTCCAACCTTCGTTCACAGTTCAGACCACGGCCGTGTCATTTTCTCTGCTGGAGTGCATCGAATCTTCTCATTTTTCTTTTTGGTGCAGTGTCAAAGATCTCTCTTCCTTCTTCTTAGCTCACGTCGTTACTGGCTGAACAAGAAAGGTTTGACCCTAAAGTTTAAATTTGCACTTGGAAACATGAAAGTAGTAGCATACCACTGACTAACACAGTTTCTTTTATAAAAAATTTTAATTAAATATATATTTATAAATATATTTATATCTTATGATTTTCATTCAATTTTTTACGTTGATTATTTTATGTAAAAAAATTTTATTATATTAAATTTTGTAAAAAGAGTTGGAATTATGTTTTAAATGGATGCCGTAAGAGTTATTTTTACAAATAATATTTTAATATTTGTTATGCCTTTAAATTTAACTATTGGTTTTGATAAGGTAAATTTCATCAAAGCAAGTTGTTCGAATTATATCACTTTCTTATCGATATTTTAGAATTAGCCATAAACAATAATTTTATTTGATAGTATTTATTTTTTTTATACATTGATTGTAAACATTCATGTATGGAATAGATTAAGCCTTTAAAACATCCTTCATAAGAACTTATGTCAAAAAAGTTTAATGTTCAACAACATTCTTTTGTGAATTTCAATATTTGAAAGATGATATGGTGTTCTAATAATAATTTGATTTCGTGCATGTTTGAAAACATTTCGATAGGATTGAATATAGGATGCTTGTTGCTAATAGCAGTTTTGTTAACCCTTGTCATGTCATAATTAAATCCTAGTTAGCTTAGTATTTGTGAGTATCATATTCATGTTTGTTTCGTGGACTTTGTGTATGTGCTTGTTATTCATAGCTTCCTACCGTGCTTGTTTCGTGACTTGTCATGTTTGTTATTAGTGGCCTCTTGTCGTGTTTGTTTTGTGGCTCTTAACTGCGCTTATTAATTACTTACCTTTATAGATTGTATATTTATGCTTAATTGGTTAGTTACTCTCGTAGACTTTGTGTCTATCCTTGTTATTCGTTCTGATTAAGTTTTGTTGAGAATGAGTTTTGAAACCTTCTATTTATTTAAAATTGTTTTTTTTAAATAAATTGCTCTTTTATCATATATGGATTTTATATATCTAGTTACATTATTTATTTATTGTTGTCATATTTGTTAAAGGATATATTATAGTCTAGCAATGGAACTTAAATTTCTAATAATCTTTATTTAAATTCACACATCCATAGTTTACTCATATGCATAGTTGCTGATTTATGAGATATTTATTTATGTTATATGTAATAATTATTTTTATTAAATTTAGAATTGTCTCATTAATATTCTTCCCAATATTTTTTTCAATTTAAACTTGGAACGTTATTCACTAAAAATTATTTCTTTGATCTTAGATACATTAATTGTTGCTGTACCTTCTTTTGATCAATAAGGGGAATGGTAGATTAAGTTTTCTTATGATGTAAATTTAAATTCATGTATTATGATTTGTAAGCATTATGTTAGGTGCTCAATATAGGTTATGGTTAGGGTCCTTATTGTATGAAATACTTGTTTGTTGACTGAAAGAAGTTGAACTCCTAGTTGATATAATGTTTGTTCAAAAATTTTTATGAAATTTTTATGAGATCCTATTTATAGGGGAGATTTTATCAAAATTTTTACCAAAATATTAAGGCTTCATTTAAGTGATAAGTACTTTAAAAATGAAAAAATTTCTTAATTTAAGTTGAAGGGATGTGTGTTTAGGTGTATATCCTGAGTTGGTCATTTTCATATTTTTGAGGTGTGACAAGTTATTTATAAATAAGGACTAACAAGTTATCATTCAAAAAATAAGCTATTGTTATCATTTTAATAACAAACAATTTTGTATTGGTCTTTATTAGTAAGTAATGTTTTTGAGAAGTTCTTGAATTTAATTCTCTCATTTGAATTTGTGAATGCCAGGAGTTGTGTACATGCCCAAAATAAGCTGATAAAAGTTAAAGGCAACAAAAAACACAAACCCTCTGAAGCTACGGATCTCAACAATGAATGACAGAGTGCAAATGACTACGGATCTCAACCCTCTTGGTCTTGGACAAAATCAGCTGTTTCTCGGGCTCCTTTTTGACTAGCTGCTCCTTTTCAAACAAAATCAGTGCAATATGGCAGGGTGATGACTTAGTTTTCGCAGAGTTTCTAAGAATCCGTGAATGTTAGAAGGGTTTCTGAGTTTCTTAGCAGCCACTCAAAAACCCTTCTTGCAGTACTGCCAAAACATGTCCCTTGTGGTGGAACAAGGTATCTCCACGTCAAGTTCAATTGCAGCCTATTGGATACTATCTTCACCTTTCCTTCCTTTCTTTGCCAGCGTAGGAAACTCAGTTCCTACGGGAACATTCCTTTTGCTTCTTACTCTTTCGACTCTTCATCGACTTCGAATGAATGAAGGTTGAGAAGCAGTTTTTCATATCAACTTACTGGTGCCCAATTCCTGCATGAAGACCTGAGGAGAGCTATCGTGTTCATTGTTTTTCCTTTTATGTCTGCTGCTCTTATTGCATTTGTACTTGTTTTTAATTTCAAACCTTTGGTTTTTGATTGATTCGTTACTTTTGTATATTTCCTCGGCTGTTTGTTTTCAGTCTGTGCCTGCCTTTGTGCCTAGGGAATTTGAATTCCTTGAGCTTTTATATGCATTAATCGTTTACCGTTTCTTTTAATATAATTGACTTTTGTTCCAAAAAAAAAAAAAAAATCAACACTAAGATCGAGTCTGGATCGTCTCCAAACAAGAAAGGCAATGTTGTCACTAGGACATCTTGTTGTGGATACATTATTACAAGCATATCATATACAAGAAAGCTCACACAATTCTCAGGGTTAAGATTATTTGCTTAATTGCTTCTCAGCTCACATGCTTCATAGAGAACACAACCACTCTTGAAGTAGAAGCTCCTTAGTAATTGAAAAAACAAGGTAAAAATGTTCTCTTCTTCTCTACGCAGTTCTCCACCTACAAAAATAGAAAAGTAAAACAGTTAACCTCAAACCTACCAAAAAAACAGGGTTATTAAAATTAGTAATTAAAATTAACCTTTTTCTCCTTGAAACTAAAACTTTGATCGAAGTTAACTTAAAAAAATGGCGCAAAATAATAGAGTTCTAGGGAACTAAAAGAACTTGTCGATGGTGGATGCTACATCTGATCATCAAATGAATCTTGATATTTCAAGTAGACTGCTGTGCTTTTGACAATGAATCCATTACCAAAAACTACAATCACTTCCACTCGGTCATCTGAGTCTAGATTTGACATTATTTTCTTCCACTCTTCTTCTTCAAAGGAAGTCAGCGAATCTTGCCTGTAGTGCAGAGAGGTTTTCTTTATATAATTTATGATCATTAAGCTAATAGAAGATTCACATGCCTTGTTACCCAAATCACCTGAACGGAAATATACACAAGAGATAGTCATCCTTTTTAAATTACGACCACTAAATTGAGGCACTTTAAATTTTACAGAATGTTCTTCACTCTTTAAACACTTCCAAAAGGGCTATTTGTCACCCGGGAGGACACAATCATCACCATAATTTCTCGGAGTCAATCCCTGCCTAATAACACAAGCAAAAACTGTAATTCAACCATGTAATTGTGCAAGTGGAAAGGTCATTTTCAATTTTATTAAAAAATTTACATAATGGGTAAGGATTTGTTTAAAAAATAAAAATGAATTATATATATAGAGAGAGAGAGAACCTGTAAAATCATCTCTGAAAGAGTACTAGTCACTTGATCATTCTTTCCAATGTGAATCAGAAGAAGTCTCAAACAATTTTGTGACCTCAAGCCACCAGCTAGACTATGATGATCAGCCAACACAGAAGATTCAATATCCAAGATTTTTAAAGCATTTGGTGTTGTTGCCATGCCTCTACAATTTGTGGTATGCAGGGAATGCATATTTTTTGCGGCCCCTCCATTTACTTCAATGCCATTCTCAGATGCACATTCCAACAAAAGGCTTTGTAGCTTTGGCAGGTTATTATAAATCAAAGAACCAGGGTTACTGGTATTCAATATATCAAAGGACATCAAAGATGGCATGCTAGCATATGTTGGAATAAGAGATAGAGGATTATTTCTTAGAGCGATCCTTGTCCAAGTAAGAAAAGGAAACACATCACGTGCTAATCCTTCGTAACCACAAAGAGAAATATATCTAATACTCCTTGATCTCACTAAAGAGTCGGGCACTTGCGCTATTGCAGTGTTCTCTGCTATTAGAGTCGTCAAAGAATCCATATGGACTATTTCTTCCTCTAACTTTTCAATATTCTCACAGCCAGAAAGAATGAGAGTTTTTAAACACTTCAATTTATAAATACTATTTGGGAGACTATAAAGGCCAGTACAGTTTTTCAAATTCAGTATATGAATTTTATCAAGATGCCCTATGGTATCATGTATCTTCAACAACCTTGGACAATCTTTGAGGATCAACTTTTCAAGATTTGGTAGTTTGGAAAAATCAGGTGTATGCGTCAACTCAGGAGAGTGGCTGAGATTGAGGATTTTCAGCGCATTTAATAACTACGAAAAGAACATTTCAGAGGGGAATTAATAGAGAATCTTGAATAAACTAAAATAGATAAAAATAATTGTGTGAAATCATTCATCTAGAACAATTATATATTTTCCTAAGACTTTAATGGAAATTTATGCTTACACTGTTACACAATTAATTATGATGGTGGAATGCCTAGATCTACAGCATGGAGTAGAAATGAAAGTAAATTTTGAAGAAAAATCAATAGCTCTGCCCAAAAATAGCATGGAAGCAAGATTAATCATGTAGAACAACTAAAATTTGAAATGAGGATACATTCGGAAGTAATAAAATAAAACAAAATCTAATGATAAACTTCATACATAACCTAGCGTCCCCTCAAGACATGTCTAAAGTTGATGTATTTTAACTTAATAGCAACTACAATTTCATGTAAAATCATTCATCTAGACCAACTATATATTTCCCTAACTCTTCATTTGAAATTTATGCTTACATATAATTTGTTATAATGGTGCAATGGCTATACCAATAGCAAGGAGTCCAAAAAAAAAAAACAGGGTAAATCAAAGAAAATTTAGTAGCTTAGCTCAAGAACAGAGATGAAGAACGATTCAACTAGAAGCTATCAGAAAAATCTGAAATGAAGATCTGTCAAGAACTTATGCAATAAAACAAATTATAATATTAAGCTCCATCCCTGATGCCAACAACTTAAGTATACATACCTGGGGTACCTCCCAGACTTGTCTGAGGTTGCTATATTTTAACTCAATAGCAACTCAATTATGTTGATCAAAGTCGGCAGGGATGTATTCCAAAGGAGAGTTGTGCCAATAAAGCCATTTGAGCTCACTACTAATGTATTTATATTCTCCAACAAGTTTCACGTTATCAAGACAAAGTAGTCTAAGTGTCTTCATCTTCTCAAATGATTTGGTACCAAAAACTTTATCATCTTGTGGCAAATTCAGAGCTAGCCCCTCAACAGATTCTGTACCCTGCGAACAAGAGAACATATATAAAAACTTAAGTGTTTACCTCTTACTTGTTTGCTAAAAAAAACCAGAGGTAAACCTATGTCACAAGCAAGTTCGCAGAAAAAGTAACTGAAACAACTGAGTTTTAAAATGAATAATTTGTGCCTGGAAGAAAAATTAATGACAAATAAGCCTACTTTTAATTTTCTCATGACAAGTTTCAAAACTATAAGGTTTATATGCCAAATTCATCTGTTTCATTATACTTTTTATAACAGAATGATAAATATAGCATAGAAAAGTCCTTACCGTATCTTTTGATAGTACATCAATCACATCTTCATGAAACCATAACCTACTACGCTTCCCAAAATTTTTTGGTGACTTTTCACGGATTATTTCTCTTCCCATATCTCGCAACAAATCATGCATACCAAGCTTGTTCTTCTCATCAATGGTTACAAGGCTTTGTTCCACAAGGACACCAATTCCAATGTCCGCAAAAAATCCACTGCTATTCAATATCTGTGTGACGTCATGCCTATCCATTCCAATAAAGAAGCAAGATATATCAAGGAAGATTTCTCTCTCCATATCATCATTCAAACCATCAAAGCTTATTTTCAGCTTCTTTTGAATTTGATCATGGGGGATTATTTTTATTTTGTCCAATGCACTCTTCCACTCCATCTCTTCCCTGGCAAACAAAAAACAACCAAGAACTTTAAGAGCTAGTGGCAGTCCTCCAGAATAATGAACTATGTCTCTAGAAAGTTCAATGAATTCTTTTCTTGGGCTTGGTTGCTTAAACGCATGCCAACTGAAAATCTCAATAGATTCATTTTGGTCCATGTTTTTCATTTCATATATATGGGCCACTTCAAGGTATTTTAGCAGACGTTCATCTCTAGTTGTTATGAATATTCTGCTTCCTAGACCAAACCATTTACCACTTCCACATAAAGTATTTAGTTGCGCCAAGTCATCCACATCATCAAGCACAACTAGCACTTTCTTTCGGCGAAGTCTTTCTTTTAATATGATTTTTCCGGAATCAATACTATATATTGTCATCTTTGTTTTACATATTTCTGAAAGAAGTTGCTGCTGGAAGTTAACTGGACCATTGTCTCTCTTCCACTCTTCCCTAATATTTGAAAGAAAACATGTGCTCTCAAAATCTTTACGGCCAATTTTATTATAAACGGTTTTGGCAATGGTTGTTTTACCGATACCACCCATCCCCCATATCCCTAGGAAGAGAACATCATTTGATGAACGGCTTTCTAACACTTTAATCAAATCTTGAACACGAGACTCCACTCCAACAGGATGGTCAGGAATAGACAAGTCATTCTTGTCCAATATTTGACTAACACGCCCAACAATATTCTTAATATAGTCGCTTTCATCCCTGCATTATTAACAAATATAGCAGAAAAGGAGCATGGATGATAGAAACATTATTATAAACAAAACATGTCATGCGATTGAAAGCAACACGTATCAGAATTAGAGCAGACACTATAAACAAACTACAATAGAAATAACTATATCGGGAACTAGAACAATGAAAAACCCCTGAAACTATAAGTGTCAACAGCAAACACAAAAAAATTAAACATCAAGTGAAATGATAGTTCATCATATAAAACCTTACATCTCTGAGGTGTGAATATTTAAGATGAGACACGCATTTCGAGGACAGTGCTTTTGTGGGGGAATAGAATGAGACAATTTTCATTTTCCACAAGTCACTGGATATATAGATGGGAAAGTGGGAATAGAGACAAGGTGAAATTCTTAAGGCGCAGAATTAAAAGTGTGTAATGTTTATGTACCAAAAACATACTTTCATCTATAGAAGAAAAATAAATTGTATTTATCTCTTGATGTTACATAACAAATGATGCTATTTGTGATACTTTAATTAATACTTGATCTATACAAAAATTGCATGTGCTAAGGGTTTGCGGACTGTAGCAAGAATCTGTATAGTTCGACTAGCAGGGTTTATGCATGTCTTGAAAATTGAAAAGAAATAAACGAATCAAATATCAGAATATTAC